CAGAGGCAGCAGATGCTTACGCCCCTGGCTACAACACCGGCCTTCCTCCTCTGTAGATAGGAGGGTGGTACTACAGAAGCAGCAGGTCCTTAACTGGTCCTGCGAGAAGCAGGTCACGACCATGCACGCCAGCTGATCCCATTAGCAGAGGGACCCTTGCCCCGGCTATTGCGCGAGATATCCATCCACTAACTTCCAGTTGTGGGAGTGCCGGTTAAGTCTCTGCCAGCAGAGGGCACAGTGGACTTTGACGCTATATAGTATTCAGTAGAGGTGTAGTCTCCAGCAGCAGGAGCACAGGGAGGATCTCAGGTGGGCCAGGGAGTAGCAGACATGGACACTGGACTGGCAGGAGTTATAGGAGCTGTTAGGCATTACTAACACCAGCAGGTCTCACAGGTCCTATAACAGACATACTCCCATGGCCGCCAGAACAGGTAGGTACACAGGGAAAAGAAGTCGCATTAGACATGTAGCATAGGTTGATGGAAGGGATGACGAAGTCAGCAGGATAAGGAATGTTAAGGAATATGGAATTATGGATACATAGATAGATATAGCAGGCCGCACAGGTAAGAGTATGGGCAATGGGTAACCCGGTTACCCCACCATGTGGAGGAGATGCAGAAATCCCCCTTCCTGCCACTGTAGTATTTCCATATACAAATCACCATATCATCAAGCAGGCGAGCAGGTCTCAGCAACTAAGCTAGCAAGAGCACCGGAGCACTAGAGCACTGACATCAAGATGGTGCGATGGTGCGCCGGACAGCGCTGACCTATAGCGGCCGGACCAATCAATGGCAAAGCAGTGGTTTAGTTCATGATATTGCATATGTACATGCGTCATCAGCGGTAGCAAGGCCGAAGATGGATCAAGCAGATGGAGCATTTGTATAAGTGACATGGACGAGCAACGGCCCTTATGCTTAGGTGCGTAAATGGGGTAGATGGTCTATCTTATAAAACAAGGAAACAATCTCACGCCGGATGAGAAGTGCAAATATCTTCGGGAGACATTCTTAACCTTATATATCCTCCCCAGCCAGAGAGTGATTCTCCAAAAGAGCGAATAAAGCTCTCATCTTAAGGGAACCTGATCATTTGCAGACAATGTCCGAAATCATCAGTAACAGATCATATTTGACTTTCTTAGATTTTCATATTCCCATACAATTCAACGCTTGTTGCAGAGCTTGTAGGGGTTCACCACAGCCAAACAGAGCCCGGAGCCAAGTCAACCTGCCATGAGATCTCAAAGACCTCTGTCCAAGGACGAAGACCAATTTCGCCTGGCAAAAAGGCACATATGCTACGCAAGCTAAAGAGACTCGTTCAAATCCAAGCAAATAAGACTTAGGCTGTCCACCCACAGCGCGCGGCTGCATATTCAATCCCATTAGTCAGAGATGAGTTCATTAGTCCATATAGTGAGATAGTTGCAACCACCCCACTTTCTCTCCTCTTCCCATGCCCACCATTCTGAAGCGGAAACCAATCCGATTTAGCAAAGCCATCTTGATTTAGCCTAGTCGTAAAGCTGCAGTTGCAGCTTATACGCTATTCTCCCCTCAGAATAGAAAGGATCCAGTCAATCTCCTGATGCAAAGAGGAAGGGGTTCTGCTCATTGACTCTTTTGACCATCTTCAGTGCTTCTGTGGCAACCTCAAGCATGCCATCATAAAACAGAGCCTACCAAATGGACCCAGAAAATCTATTTCTGTGGGTTCTGAGATGGTTTACACCGGCTGATGTGCTTAGGTCTTCAGTAACTCATCTCAATCAATAGAGAAGTCAGTAAGGCTAACAGGGAGCATAAGGAACTCTTCACACAGTTTCAAGAATTCTTGAAGAGGGGAAGCCAGAAGGAAAACGAGCAGCTATTTTTGCTAAGACCTTTATATGCACCAATTTCCAGCCAGATACCCCTTAAAAGGCAATTGCCCTCGGATGAAGATACTCAATTCAGACCAATATTACCCTCAATATCACCAGCGCATCAGATTCACAAGACAACCCACAGGCTTCAGCCAAGTCCCCAGCTCCTTCTGCACCACATCCAGCTCCAAAGAAGCATTCGCCGAACCCATCGTCTGTAACATCAGAGTCAAGTCACTCAGTTCATCAATGCGCCTTTAATTACTTCATGAAGCTAGGAGTCAGAGATGGACAGCTGCAGCATCTCATCAAAGCCGCCATCAGGTTCATCAAGAAGGCCAAATTCAATTACCGTGGTCATGATGTGTGGTCTGCAAAGGCTCAAGTTTTCAACTTCAAAGAGCAAGGGACTCTCCCCAGGCTATGCCGTCTCTTCCAAGCACAACAAAGGATTTTCCAGGACCAAAAGAACTATGCTTATGCAGACAGACTGTCTTTGGTGTTCATACACCACAAGGTAAATGAACATGTGCGGACGGTCGATTCAGCCTCAGCAAAATCTAAGAAGCAGATCACTGTAGCATGCAACGATATCGCCCAAGAACTTGGCAAGTCTACCAAAGCTCTGAAGAACAACCAAGACCAAGGTAGATGCTACCTGGAACTGTTACTTCAAGCTGGTCCTGGAGACTTACTTACTTTAGGCTTGGGACAGTCAACACTATATGTCTTATGCTTCCTCCTACTGCTTAGCTTTCTGCCCGAAGTTCTTCCTAACTATTAGCAGCTAGGAGAGGTCATTGCAATTACAAGGTATTTCACACCTTATCAAGTTTCGGCGAAAGAACTATCAGGAAATAGAGAGGAAAGTTCAGGACCTTGATCATGACGCCTCACTTGCAATGGCCTATGGTCTTATTAGCTACAGTTAGAAACCCAGCAAGTTACTAAGTTGCCAAAGCTATATCATACAAAAACTCAGGCAGTTTATTAATCTACACAACTTTTCCAAACATAATTCGCAACCTGCAGAGATTGGCGAGGGGGCTAATTCCAATAATACCACAGCTTCAATCTCAGAGGAAAGAGAGCGACCCCTGAAGCTTGCTTCAGTTTCTGTTGACCCTGGTCCAAATATCAATGCAGGTTGTAGGAGCCATACCTTTCCCTGCAACAGTTCGTGCGATATTAGACAGGATAAGGGGGTTGAGCGCTCCGCGGCAATTAATACCAATATAGTGATGGAATGTGATACACTCCCAACTGAAATTAATACAGTGGATCCAGCATCAACACCATCCTCATCCTTTGAGTATCACAAAGCTGGTTAGTTATCCAAATGGTGCTTTATCTGTTTTCTCACACCCTAATAGTAAGTTGCGTAATCTCAGAGCAGGATTGCATCCAACAACCTCATTCAGTCCCTCCCAATCCGGTCACAAAAGGTGCTAATGGTAATATCATCATTATAAAGTAAGATAACACAGAGTATGCTAATCAAACAGACGCAATGAAACATCCTTCCAACTCAAAACTAGCAATACCGGCACAGCAATCAGCCAATACTCAGCGCGCCAGTCAGGAGGTTCCCTTGCAATATCAGGTACCTCCTCTATTTCCTGACTTTCCAGACCTTTTCAAAGCGATCAATCTATTTCCTAATCTTTAAATTTCTCCAATAAAACCAGATTAAGTTTCCTCCTCCTTGTCCACTCCATGTTTGTTTTTAATCGCCCATGAAATGTAATGCTTCTCCCTTTCATAGGTTATACTCCTTCACATCATGGCCTAGTGCTAGTAAACCATTCGAGTAAGACATATCATTAAGCACCAAAATAGTATAGACATAGTCCATTCTCAGAGACTTCTGCTCAAATGGGTTCCCAAGGTTGACACATGTTCCAGGCTCAGAACCCACAAATCTGCTGTGTACATCGTCTGCCAAAATCTCAAGGAGTTAAGCAAGCTTCTGCTTCAGTGCATCCTAAAAATAGTCAGTTATGGTTTGCGCAATATTTTAGAAGACTCACCTCCAAGAATTTATTTAAGGCCCTTCGCGTCTCTGCTCCATGCTCAAAGAGGGTCAGGGGCTGGTGAGAGGGAGATTTCGGAGACTTTCTCTTCATTTGCTCCACCTCCTCATTTGCTGCGTGTGCTTGCATTTCCATTATACCTTCATCCTTAGCTGCGAAAAGAGTACCGGTAGTCTCCATTGCTTCGTAGTTAAAACGTCATTCCGAGTCTTATACAGCGCCATTCCCAGTGAAGATGAGATGGCAGGGTGATGAAGTTAAAACACAGTGCCCCTCAAGTCACATGGAGTGTCGGATAACAGTGACAAACTACCACATCCATGATATATGACAGCTCTCTACATTTGTTATGAGTACTATGATTTATGAAATACCCATACAGGTCTTGTGAGCCTATCCCCATACCTACATACCTGGTATTTTTGAAAGTCCTTCATCACTGCATGAGGGAGGGGGAATCGGCCATCTCACGCCATACCCAGGCCCAGGTTACGTATGCAGCTGACCTTTACATATTAAAATCTATACTCTGTTGAATCCATGCTAACTGACTTTTGGCTAGACGGCTGCTCCGCAGACTAAGAAGCAAGCCATACATATGCCTGTGTAGATAAATGATATATGTGAAAGGCTACTTTAGGTAATAGACTACTACATAAGGCAGGTACACCGCCATCTAGCAAAGAAAAGTAAGGTATCCGCCCGCTTTGAACCAACACCCCCGGCCTATTTCTGGCATTGTAGCTGGCTTTGGTTGAATGATGGCTTTCAGGGTGGTATTCAAAGATCCACAAGAGGGTGAACTAAGTAGAAAATAAGCTGCATTAGCTCTTATACAAATAGATTAATTGCAGTGAGTTTAGTCAGGCTAGGAGCCTAGGGCGATAGTTTGGACGCGCGTTTTATGTGATAATCCTACTGTAGCTCTAAGCTTTATTGATGGAACGCCATTGCCGCTTCTCTTAATAAGCATTGACAATATTAATTAGACAATGCAATGCAGAAAAAAAGTACAAACTGCAGGCATGCTTCTTTGCCTTTATCCCTTTTCAGCTTCACGGGCATACATACGAAATCAGAAATGATCTTCATAGCATGTGCTTCGGAGTTTCATGTTGCTTCAGCCGCACCAAAGCCTATGTAGTTTGTCAATACTGTTGGCTAATTCGAGAGGTAGGAGAGGGTCCTTGACTCACCTCTTGAATGCAGGTAGCAACGAGAATTCCATCTGTGGACCATATCCGCTGTACAACCAGACCTCGCTCATTTCCTGCCCATGGAGTCTCCATTTCTGTGAGCATCCAGTCGTCTACTCGGACCGCCTGTGGGTGATGTAGGTATATGGAATGGTTGAGGCTGGCCATCACTTCGATTTTTTCGGCCTTTTGGTTTGGCTCTTCCTGATCTGTAGGTGGTGGAGAAGGGTAAGGCGATAGATTGTAGACTCGCCACAGGGTTCCAATAAAATAGGTGTCTGTTAAGTATGTGAGTGCCAATATATGTGCGTTGGAACCGCCAGAGTTAGATATGGTTCCCCTTGATCGCACGAAACGTCTATATCTTTTGTCTGATGGACGAAGCAAGTCATCTACTTAGTGATTTAAAGCCAGAAGTCTCGTAAGCAATTGCAGCATCACATTTCAAAGGATATATCCGACAATACCTACCAATGTCACTGTCCACAATTCGAGATTCAAACAGCCCGTTCCCAGTACCTTCTCCTGCCGCAGGATCTTGCGGCACTGAAACATCAGGTTTCGATCTGGAGTGCTCTAGGACCTTTTCGTCCATACTGCTGTGGTTATTAATAAAGCTCACAGCTGCTGTGAATATCAGATGGTTTCTTTGTTTGGCTTTCACCATACAAGTCACCAACCTATCACCATCATTGACATGATCAACATGGTAATAAATGGGTGTCTCTGCTGTCGCTGCAATGAGAAAATGGCAATGCATACTGTGCATGTTGACAGTAGAGGGAACAGTGAGCATGGCTGCTGAGAGGGACTGGGCGATGAGAGTCCCTCCGTATACTCCACGGGATCCAGAGGGATGCCATAGAGGATGGGTGTTGGTGAAGACGGCCTGTCAGGCAGTCAGTCGAGACCTAATTCCATTTATTTTTTTCTAGAGTTAGTACACCAGGACATATCAGTTGCTACACTTACTTGGCCATCGTTGCTGGGCACAGGAGTCAGTTCAAACACATTCTCAATCGGCGCTTTGCATTCGTCTAGTGGTGGGGTTGGAAAGAGAGTAGTATGTGTCTTGGCCATCTTCAAAGCGTCTACGAGCAACGACGATCGATGAATTAAAAGTATAGGGTACAGATATGGTTGGCAGGATTCGTATGAATGTCCCTCTTTGAATTATCATTGATAGTTGTCATCCTGTCTTGCAGGGACATTGGCGCAAAGCGCCAACCAATTATAAACTAACTAACTAGTTAATGTAATTGCTGACTCAGCATATGAATAATTCTTCATATCACTGAGAAAGAACAAAGAATCAGGATCAGTGTCAAATTGTGGCGTGATAGCTGCAACATGCTCCTAGCGGGCATTGCCTGTTACACTCAGAGCCCTACCTGATGAGCGGCGCAGCTGCTAGTCCAGCTGATGCCAGAGTCTGCGCTTAAACACATATCTGTTTAGTACTCATCAGCATGGCGAGCCAGTGCACTCCTATGGTGAAGGGCTGAAAACAGGCGACACTTTCTAGTATACTGCACGGAAGTAAGATAAGAAAAGATGTCCATATAAGTAAGGATGAAACGTAGACTAACACAACCGCAAGCCTGCTAAGCATTTTCCGAGTCAAAACCTGAATAACCACCTGAACTCCGAACCTATTCCCCCCCTCAAAAGCATGTGCGTGTCATCAGTAAGAAAGTGGAACCCAAAGCATAGAGAACGCCGTCTATTTGATCGACAAGACCCGAACCACATGAAGCATATCCTCTATCGATTCGAGAAGCTCATTCCGGAGCAGCATTGTATTTTTCTGTGGCCGAGCGAAACAACTCTTGTTGCTGTCGTAACAGTTCCTCCTCGGTAAGGCCGCTTTGCTCCATCTTGCTTTGCTTCTTCTCTCGCGACTATTGATCCGTTAGCAAAACGCTGTCTTTCCGACTGAGTGTTGCAGGATACAAACCTTCAGTTGCTCCTTATGTTCCTCTGCGACGGCAAGGACGTCGGGAATATAGTCACCGAATCCTAGATCACGCAGAGCCCGCTCCACATGTTCACAAGCGATTGTTTTCTTTGCTTCCTTCTCGCTGATATCGTTGGCCTCGGAGGAGATCAAAGTAATGAATTCAACGCAGCATTCCATGAGCAAATCTCGAGCATCCTTGGAGAACGTCTGACCGGAGGATGGTGGCAGGATCTCTGTAATGATCTTTTGGACCGTGGCTGCGGCAAACAAAGTAAGTTATATGTAGGCTTGTATGGGAGCGCAAGATTTCTAAAGGCCGTGAAGCGAAATCGCTCCGAATGCGACAACAGGATATACCCAACGCGGGTTTCGATCACACACCGTCCCCCGCCAAGACTACCCTTCCAACAACTGCCGTGGGCTCGATCGGAAGGGGCGAGGTCGCAGCCTAGAAGGTCAAGGCAAAGGCCTGACTGGACAAAGTTGCCCAGGATCATGGGATGCAAGTACAGCGTCTCTCGCATACAGAAAATTCTCGCGGCGTGTGCGTCTGGATGCCGTACTGACAAGCTCGTGACTGCCCGCCTCTTCTTTGCCGTAGCCAGTCCGTTCGCTATGGCTCAACTTCAAGAGCTTCTGACCGCAATGCGACGAAATAAAAACGCTCTCCCTTTTCCAGAAGTTGGCTCCATTAATGGTGTTATGGATGCCCTTGACAGGTCAGAAGGGTCTGGGTTAATTGCTTGTATTCGATTTAGGCTTCATCTAGTGGACCTTGTTGAATTATATACTAGGAAAAGGCTGGATTATCAGCGAGACAGTAATCGAGCATTCGCAGATTCCGAGACTATGTCAAATATTGTAGCGGAGAGATTCCCGCTGTTAGAACGAGGCAGCTCGGAGTTCAGGCGCCACAATGATATCCTTCGACGCAGATTGTACGAGGGCAGGAACTGGCACAGGATTGCTCAAAAGTTTGGTAGTCCTATTGTCTACTTAGTCCCATCCAGAGGGGAATTCGATATTTCTAACTCAGCGCATGTGATCGCCCTCCTTAGTACCAGTACAAAGCTGACGTTGATTAGAGTTCAAAGAGTATCGACGCACCATTTTGACAATTTCCTAGAAGTGCTAGGTGAAAAACGAGGTGACTTCCTACAAAGTTGTGTCCAATATCTAGACAGAAAGTTAAGAGATCTTTCACGTTTGCGTCAGTCCAGTCTGCTGCGGCTGGAATCAACAACACCATGCGAGATTAAAGAGAAAAAGTTCGATTCGAACGAACTGCTCTCCCTCCTTCATCCTCTTTGAGCTCTCTTTGGAGTTGGAAGATACTAACACTGGACGGGCGAGAACGTGACTCGGTTTATTGTTTTTTTATCTACATGCGACCTAATTTCTTAAGCTAGATTCATGGGTTGAATTGAATTTGATCTAAAGTGCTCCATCTGCATTTCATATTTCGAGGAAGGATTTTGTCTTTCTCTGATAGACTGTCGACGGGGTATGACCATTCGTGATCATGTTCACAAACCATTGGAATCTTTTTCAAGATTGCTTTGGATTGCAGCTCCTTTTGAATGAGAAGTAAAGGAAAGGAGGACAAGCTATTGGCTGGGGTGCTAGGCGAATTCATAAAAGGCATCGTTCTATTCCTTTATCTACCATACAGTACACTGCGATTGGAATCAAAACAACTTGATAATCAATCCTAACCTCGATCAGGTCGCCCACGCAAGCTTAGTGAGCACAAAAGAGACCATGTCTTTGATCTTAGTATGACTAACCCTCATATTAAGATCCGAGGACTAGTTTGCGAGGTCGGCGTGGCCGTCAAAAAGCGCTCAATCCAAGGACACTTCTTGGGAAAACACCAGCTAATGCTGCGTGTATTGAAAACCGTCTTCGGCTTTTACCAATGACGAACTCGACGACCCCGGATGATCCTGGTGATGTGTTAATTGCAAGGGCCACCATCCCCGATGTTAGGACCTTACACGTCATGATCAAGCACCATTTTTTGCAAGCAATAATTGACCTGGAAAAGCACTGGGGTTGAAGATAGTACTTCGACTGGAGAAAGATATGTCTGCTGTTCAAAGAGCTTGCTCTGGTGAAAAACGTCGAGTGAGTAGACTGACGCGCATAGTGTTTATTATACGCCCGTCTAAACAAGTCATTCCCTTATACCTTTTTTAAACCTGAATAAGTGGATGGTTCACTATGGTTGCGGCTCCTGCGATCCCGCAGTGGTAAACCCACGACTAACGGCATTTAGATTCTAGTGGTCGAAGTGGTCGAAGTGGTCAAAATTTTGCCCTCAGCGCTGAGGAATCTATAATTTATCTAGTGATATCAAAATTTCTATAGAAATCCTTAAAATTAGTGATTACTAAGCAAAATAGTGTGGGTTGGTTAAACCAAACCAATAAAACTGCAAAAACCATAACTAATGGTTTTAACCAAACTCACAGAGGTTCTAGGGTAGGGAAACCGCAACCACTGCGGTTCCCTAGGCTAGGCACCGAACCCGCACCACCGCGGGTTCGGTGAGGGTCGGATTCGATTTTGGCGGTTTGGTTATGCAACTCTAGTGCTAACTCCTGTTGCTATACTAGTTAATAATAAGGTTTATAAGTAAAACTAACTTATTTAGTATTATACTATTTATCTTAATAGTGCTCCTATTAAATCTCTATATACTTATTATTCTTATTATAGTGTGGTGTGCATAATAAATTCTAAAAGCTAAAATTATACTAAATATACCTAAAGTAGTAAAAAGTATGAAAAATAATTTTATAGTGAATATAAGTAGAATTATATTTTAAATACTTAGGAGAAGATAAAAGAAGATATTTCTCCAGCTAAGTTAACCTTATTAGTTCTATATATAGAGTAGTCTAAACTACTTACCTAACTATCTAAAATTTAATATATTAAAGTAATACATAATAAGACTCTCTATTAGTTAGCTAAGGTCTAATAAGAAGGACTAAGCTTCTTAAGGGAGTCCTGTATTTCTTAAGCAAGATCCTTAATTTCCTTAACTATTAAAGGAAATTTACCTTTAATATTGTCACGGTGCTGCCGTGGATAGGAGTTGGAACCGCTAATGAGGAATCACGTGACCTTGGGAATATCTTCACCGCACAATTCCGAAACCTGTTTGAAGCTCTTTGAGCTACGTCCTGTCTATAGA